CCAGAGCGTCAACGCGCTAAACGAATTTACGGCGGCCGCGCAACGCGTCGTAACCACTTGAGCACGCGTCGCGGAGGCCGTCGGCCGAATTTACACCCTTTGTGGACGCGCCCGTGCTTTGTGGACGTGGCTTGGCGCGGCGCCGCCCCGCGCGACCACTTTTCAACGGCGACCGCATACGGGCCACGTAACTCCGGGCCCAGCACGCTGCCGCACGGTACGCTGCCCTGCCTGCTGGTCGGCAAGGCCGCCACGGCAGTGCGCGTCCGTCAAGCGGGGCTCTTCGCCGACCCTCCGGCGACGACGGACAAAGGGACCGGAGCAGGTAGAACTGCGGCCGTGGCGCAGTGGGAAGGCTCCCATTTAAAGCTGTGTTCTGCTAGAGGTGCCGCGTGTCTCCTTCCCCGCTTCGCGTGGCTAGAGGTCGGCGTCAGCTGCCGCAGCAGCCGCCACCGGCTCCACGTGGGAAGGCGTCCATTCAAACCAATGCTCTGCTACGCGCCGCGCTGCTGCGAAGCGCGCCGCGGTCGCGCCGTGGGAAGGGGCCCTTAGGGCGCCTTTCCACGCCGCCACGGCAGCGCGCGTCCGTCAAGCGGCAGGGCTCTTCGCCTACCTTCCGGCGACGACGGACAAAGGGACCGCAGCAGGTAAAACGCCGCGACCGGCGGTCGAAGTGGGAAGCCTACCATTTAAAGCTGTGCTCTGCTAGCGGTGGCGCGCACGCCCTCCTCCGCTTCGCGTGGCGAGAGTCTTGACGGAAGCGCGCTGCCGTCGCGTCGTGGGAAGGCGCTTTTAAGGTCGCTTCACAACTACCCGCGAACGCGACGGACAGCGCAAACGGGAACTAAAGAGAGCTGGAAGATGGACGTACCACGCACGCATTCAAACAGTACCGGATCACGAAGTAGGACGAGAGTGTGAATTGGAAAGATGGGCAGCATTGAACGCGGCACGGGTACGCGAACAACGAATGGAGGCGAAGTCTTTCAGCTATTGAACGCGTGACAGTGGACTGCAGCTAAGAAGGTACTGTGATAGAGGTTAGAGCGTGAATGTATGAAGAACGGGTTAGAAGAATACAAAAGAAAAGGTGAGGAACAGAAATAGAACAATTCAAAAGCTACTCAATATTAAAAGTACCATTCAAAAGCTACCAGTATCGTTGAACCTACTACCATTGGAAATGATATGGTAAACTTGTCACCATGAAAGCTGCCAGAAACATATCAGAACCGCAACGTGTCACAGGGAAAATACAGCGAACCAAAACGCCAGAGCGGCGTAGCTAGTGGTGCATCAAATGAAATAATTATAGACGTTGTCATTGCCAACAATAGTATTTAATATAAGAGCACGCTTTTCGACTGGCTTAGCCATCATCATCAGTTGTCTGCTGGATGGAAGCCACAAAACACTTCCATCCAGTAGACAACGATTGAATGAGGCTAAGCCATCGAAAGCTGCTCTTTATTAATACTATTGTTGCAATGACAACGTCTATTATTTATTTCATGAAAAATGCCAACGATAAGCGCACCACAACACCTATATAGTGGTGCATTGTTTTCAGCAACTGTTTCCTGGAGTTCCTTTTCTGCAGCTAAAGTTTTGCAGCTCGATTCTTCTTCCCATTGGCGTATATTGGAAGTGGGTGATCTCTTGTTCCCGACCTCGCCCTTGCGTTGCTGTTGTCAGACGTTTTAAATACATAGTTGTGAAGCAGCCTTTAGTTTGCAGAGGTGAAGGTTGGAGATAGCATTCCGGACGACAGACACTCCACGAAGACTTCGATCGCTTAAGTGATTATTGGTTGTGTCAGTGGAAGTTTGTAAAGAAAATAAAGCGAAAATTCGCCACCTAGAAATTGAAAATTCGAGGAAGAAGTTCGAAGCGTGATGAGACACTGTGAGATTTCTATTGTAAGAGAACAAAATGGAAGAGTGTATGAAAATTAACAAGCAAAGAACAGTTTTCAAAATTTAATTTAGTCAGATATTTTATAATGTACGGTATGAGTGTGTTATCTTCAGGATGTTGACGGTCGTAAGTTTCTTGTTCATTGCTGTTATATACTTGTAGAACATGTTGAGAGATCTTAGGTAAACAAAATTAATGCAATTTGTTCCAAACATTATTACTCCATATTGCATTTACTCGTATGTGCACTACGGGATTAATCTAAAGCACGTCAAATTCTGAGTGAAAGTCAATACTATTTCCTTTTACTTATTCTCATAAGGTAATAAGGTATTCTCCTCATACACGGTCTAGTTGCAGCACAGCGAGCGTTGTTGCGAGTGTCACGACATTAAATAAAACTGCTGCTACTGAAACGAAGAATACTAGCAGCGCTAGACACTACACTACATCACAGCAAACACCATTCATAGTGAAACGGCTTTGCGTTTCTTTGACGCACACTTAAACGTTACGGGCACCATCTATAAGACCACGTAAACGTGAGCAGCGAGTGGCTGGCGTGGCGAGAGCCAGCTCGACCCGTCCGCCCATTCCGTCCTCGCCAGACTGGCTCCGCCGCGCACTCTATAATTCCGGGAACGCAATTCCCTCATTTTTACGCGAATATACGGCGCGGCGCTACTCCCGCACCAATTTCCATGAGCAACGAAGATAAAAAATACGCCGCCTTTTATCGCCGCGGAAAGTTGCTAAAAATGCGCATATTTTTAGCCCCCCCGCCGAGACCCGGCGCCCAGCGCGCGCCCCGCGCCAAGCCCGCGCTGCATGCGGTCTTGGCACGGGCCGCGGCGGGGGCGGGGGGGGCCGCGCGGGGCGGGGCTGGCGGCGGCAGTGGCGATCGTTTTTGCGCGCCGGCGTCGGTGATGATGGAAAAAACAATGGTGGTGACGCGGGGTGACAGCGGCGCCTGCTCGCTGGCGAGAGCGCGTCTGCGCCGGGATTGGTGGAGGAGAGTTCGGCGGCGGAGGCGGTGCTTTGGTCGGGAAGTGCGGATTACAAAAGCGGCGTCGTTGATGCGGGAAGGATAAGCAGGTGAGGGCGATAGTGAAATGATGCGAGGGTGTTATGTGAAAGGCGTCTTTGGGAGCAGACGTTGGAAAAAGAGGGAGACTGGCTTAAGAGGTAAAACGGAGCCGAGGAAAAATAATTGATAACTAACTAGTTTAAGTGAAGGAAGAGTAAGGAATGAGGTGTAAGAGTGAGTGCAGGCGGTTTCAATCTGTGTTAAGCAGTGCGCGTGATATACTCGTAATGTGTCGAATGTTGAGAGATGTAGTTTGGAAATCCAGAAGCAATATGGAACAGTAATTGTACCGCACCGTATGAAGTATTAGACGTTACGTGGCATTGTAACGTACCGTGTACGTGACATACCGTTGTAAAAAAACTGATGTCGCTTTATGACTCGTGTGCACATATGGGCCAGGAATACTCCAGAAGCGTCTAGATGAACGACAGGAGAGCACCGGGTACGAACGGAGCAGAGCGAGACCAGGACGTAGATCAACGGAGCAGGTGGCGCGACTTGGTCGCGTGGTGGAGAGGAGGGAGGGGAAGGCACTGGGCGGCGGCGGAGCGGGGCAGGCGGGGCGATGCTGCCTCATCGTCCCCATGAGGCGGAGCGGAGCCAGCCAAGAGACTGACCCCTCACCCCTTCCCCTCCGCCCTCCTCCTGGTGGGGGGTGCGAAAGGGGAGGGGGCGCTAACCGCGACGCGACGACTTGGCCGCGGACGCACCAGCGCCGACCCGCTGCCCCGGAGATGGATGGGCGGAGAGCGCGCGCGCTGCGGGGGCGGGGGCGGGGGGGGATTGCTGGCTTTTAATCTCGGCTCGTTCACTGCGAGATGTTTTTGCTGTCGGGTTCTTTCCGAGCGTTTTCACTTTTAATGCCTTTCTGGCTCGGGTGTTTTCTTTTAAAACATATTTATGGCTGTGATTTAGCTCTAGCATGAGAGCAGCGTTGTCAGCGCGTGTGGTACGACTTGCTTTCCCTCTGGGGGGGGGTCTGGGATTCGAAGCTTAACTACTACTTTGTCCAAGTACTTTATAACCTTTGTTGCTTTCTAATAGTGTCTGAAATTATTGTCGTTTTGCTTTTTTAAACTACGAACAACTAACCCAATTCTCAAAAATTAAATTACGTTCAAATATTTGAATTTTCTATTAAGTCCTGCTTCCGCCGGGACTCAATACGGCAAGTCCTCTCAGTCTGAAGCTCTACAGTGCCATCAATTGATGCTCTAAGTCATGTAAGCTCCTGATACTTGGGTGTAATGGAAGTAAGAGAACTTTCTCACACATTAAACCAGTAACAAACAAATACTTCTTCGTGATGAGTTACATCACACTTTTGTTTGTTTTATTGCCACGACTTAGTACGTAATTACAGCAAAATATCTGATAATAGTTTCCTAAATTTTGAACAGAGTATGTATACAAATTTAACTACTTAGACTCAAAACTATCAATATCATTAAATATAACGCAATTTATCTTCTTGTAATAATTCTCTATGCTTTACTTTATTGACGTATTTAAGCTTAAAATGTACAGTTGTTAGACATAATTACAACTATTTAATACTTGAAAGTATGTCAATTAAGCAAATCAAACGTTGCTTATACACATAGCCGGTGGCGTATCTGTGTCATTTGTTAGCTGCTGAGTGTTTTTCGCTAATTGCTATAGCTCCGTTTCAATGAATAAAATACAAAAATGAGTTACGAAACATCTAATTTTGTATGTCCGTTTCTTTTTGTTGGCAGGTGTAGCCAGGTTCATGTCATCCGCATCTCAGCATGGGCTTCGGCCTCTTCCAGATGTAATGCTCTACATCTACCCTGTAGATCCGAATTTGTTTGACACCGGGCGACAAATTCGGTTCTAGAGAGGTTTGTGTGGTGCATACAAAGCCACGAGCAGTCATCCATGCAGTTCTTCCGAGTGCAGCTATTTCCGACAACTGAAGACTGACAATATATTATGGCGAGAGTCATATTATTATATATATTTAAATTAGCATTACACCAAAATGTTCCTTTAGCAATCGTTTAGAAAATGAAAATAAAGAGCACAATTATAATATTGAGTTGTGATTTAAAATAGTAATATACGCTTAGTAGTTTCTCCCTATTAATTAAGCTTTAATTTTACTATTGCATTTTAATTTAGTTAGGCGTATAACTGTTTGTAATAAAATATATTTACTAATAAGTAGTGGAATGCTTTAAAAAGTTACCTTACACTAGGATAAACTATTATAAAATTAAAACGTGCTCATATAAACTTATAAATAATGACATTTAACAATTTAAAGTGTATTTATCATTTCTGAAAAGGATGTAACGTTAATATTTTACAATATTTTTCAGGTCTGCCAGAGATGGAAGTTGTTTTGTTTGTTTCTTTCTTTGTGTCCTCTTTGTGCACCTTCCCTTACCTCATCCTCATTCCTGATCTCTTATGAAAGAATAAAGGAAATTGACAAAGTCACGTGTGTTTACTATCAATACCTCTGACGTCCGTCGACCCAAAGGTCGGGTGTGTGCAGGTGAGTGTCAGACTAAAAGTCATTAAGTAGTAAGATGTCAAAAATATAACGAGTAGTGTTTATAAGATAAACTTTGTGCATTTAAAAAAAATATGGCAGTCATTTAAAAAATATATTTTCAGTTTTTTAATCGTAAAATAATACTAGTAATTTTTCACTTTTTAAATTTCATGTTAATAAAATTGGGTCTTTTATATAGTAAACAATTTAAAAAATTCTTCAAACGTCAATGGAACACTTCCTGGAAATCCAGTCCTTTTTACTTTAACAAAAAACTCCCGTGAAAAAACATTTACATGATAAAGAAACATTGTGAACTCAAGAGAGACGGATGAAATATTGAAATACGCCCAACTGCCCTACTCATGTCAAGTTGCATGTCTCACTTCAATTCATTAGGTAGAGCATGAGGTTCAATCAAGGAAACAATTTATTAACTCCAACTTGGTGAAATAATTAGCTTCGACCCTTTGACAAATAGTCCGCTCGGTGTGAATAAGGATGAAAGTGTTGACTCAGTGTCGTTTTCACTGCGATGGCTATCGCGGTTTGGGCGTCATTTGTTTGTCAAAACGGAAGTGCTGCGCAGTGATTCACCCACCTCTATACACGTAACGATCGCAGCAGGTGGCTCTTTCAACAAATGTGCGAAGATCACCTGGGGAGGCCATTTTCGCATTGCACTTTCAACAGCCGTAAACTTCATATAATGTAAAACAGTTTTTGTAACTTAAGTTCGACTTACGAACTATCCAACATCTAAGCAACGCGTAATAAACCTGAGGAATATGACCCAATAGGACATTCCATCTCAATATGAAAACATTGAAATACATTTAGATAAGGTAATTAAATATAATTGTATCTTTAAAAACTGTTGCTAAAAGAGCAATGACACTGAATATTCTATTTTCATGAAATTAATGAGCAAGTCAATTTCTTAATAATGCAGTTACCTCCCAAAAATAAATCCACAATCAATCATGAGCGAGTTTATGGTGTTGGAAGTGACACTTATGATCTCTCGTATTAACTTTTATTATATTAAACTTTTTAATAGAGGGCGAATCATATGACCGCTTGGAAAGCCTTAGTTGGTGTTAGCATCAGCACACAGCGCAAAGTTGCTTTTCTAACAGCGCATCAAATTAATTCGGCGCGCCTGGAGTCGTGGCCTCCGCGAGCGCATGCGCAAGACACAAAGGGCCTAACGGCGGCCTAACTGCGCTGCCCCCCGCGGCGCCCCGAGGGCCCCATCCGGGCGGCCGCACGGACACCAGGTCTACGAGGGGGTGGGGAGGGGGGCGGCGGAATTTCGCCATAAATTTCGGGCGCCGTGACAGCTGCACGGGCATTGTAGTTCCCAGCGCTGGGCACAGATGTCGCGTCACGCCAGGAGCGCGACGGCGTGCGGCGAAGCGTGGCGCGACTTCGACGGGCAGCGATCGTCAACTGGCCGACAACACCATGGAGAATAAGGACATTGCAACAAGCAAGAACATGATATTATTTAGAGTTTTCCTGTGTTTACAAAGAACATCTTGAATATCTTCGTAAACGTTTACCTTGAGTGTCTTTGTCAATACATTCAATAGACCATTTATCTCGAAATAAATACTTCGTTTATATAATAATCTTACTTGGTAAAATTACTTGCGAAGTTTCTGAAGACAGTTCCAGAGAAATTTTCTTGATAATTAATACATAATTTTGTAGAAACGATCTTAGTTTTCATACTTATGCTAAAACATTTTTTATATTTCTGGTTGCAATCGCGAGATCCCTCTTATTTTAAACATGATTCTTCTACGCTTAATTTGCTTCTGAATTTTGTTCAAGAAATATAAAGCCTTTCCAATCATTTTTAGTATTTTGGGTTTTTACGAAGTGTGTTTGCCCAAGATTTACCTTCGCTTGTAATAAAAACCCTGGTCGCCTCGCCGTTCAAACTGAGTATACTTCGGCTTTAAAAGTGCTCGATCACATTATGTCATTGTTACTCTTCCTGAGGCCTTATGATATAAATTTTGTTAATTCATTCGCGAACGTTCTTTCAACGGGGCTCACGGCTACAAAAAATGTCCTTATCACTGTTAAAAATATTTATTTTATACGGCAGGTGTAACAATGACTTAATGTCATCGACCACTTTCTAAAAATCGAAGTATAAATTAGTGATTTGTGCATCGAAGGTCGTATGCATGCACACATTCCTAGCTCTCAGCCTTCGCGAAAAGCTAGCATTTATTTTCTATAGATTAAGCTTGTTGATGGTTAAGAAGTGACGTCTTTATGAATGGAGAACACTTGCTTGTTTTGTGAAATAGTAGAGAGAATGGAAATGGAAAAGGGTGTAAAATTCAGGTAAGATTTTCTCTAATTATATTTACACAAATTATCACGTAAAAACTCATATTTTTTTAATAATGACAACAAAGTCACGGTTTTTGTAATGGATTTAGGGGATACTGAATAAATTTAAATATATTTATACTTTACGACATTCTTACACTTTAAAAATAATGCTCAATAAAATAGAGTTATCGATCATTTGTACAGTATAAATGGACAATGGATACACATTAAGTCCGAATTACTCATGTCCAAAGAATAGTATTGACTCTAGAGTTCTTCATAGAAAGTTCAAGAATAACCACAAGAGCTAATATTTCAATCCCATATCTTTATAGAATTACGACGTAAGCAGAAAGAAATCCATACACTAAAATATAATACCTTAGTTAACAGTAATGTCCACTCACAAGTGTGCAAAATACATTAGACGAGCCGTATCTTTGTCGTGGTGGCTGACGTTTCGGCCATCCTCTGAGCGTGCTGCAACGTGTGGCCGTCAGAGCGCACTGTCTCGGATAGCCTATACAATATTTTTCTAGCAATCCGTTTAGAGGAAGAACACCCACACTATGTTGGCCGATACGTCAGCCACCACAATAGAGACGCGGTTAGTCCCGGATAGCCTAGACAATACAAACTAAGGTGGCGGAACCCTAATCAATCATAAAATATATTAGAATTCGAAAAGGAAGAACCTACATATATAATATTTATCAAAAGTAATCGATTTGAATTCTGTAATATTAAAAATAGTTGATATTATAACAGAAAACTAAAAATACAGTTCCTGGAACGCATTATGAAAACATTCAACTGTATTCGTCGCGGCCATGGTTTTAAACAGAGAGGGAGAGAGCGCTCACAAAAATACGGCTGCTCTTTCACCTCTTTTCCAGAGCTCTATAGCGTCAGTGAGAGTAGCGGCGTGTCAACGGGCGGGCAGGCATCACAACTGAAAGCGCTCGGGGGTAGATTAGATATGAATATGCGGGAGCGGCGGGGCGGGGCGGGGTGAGGGCGTGGGCGACAAAGCCCGCTGTTCGACACGCCGCCAGCGCCGCCCGCGCCACCGCGCCGCGACCCGCGTGCGACCGCTGCGCCAACGTGTCGTATAATTTTTTAAACCCATCACGCGCAGTGCGGCGGGCGCTTTGTGAGGGACAATGGGGTCGGGGGGCGGGGGCACCTGCGCCGGACAAAACCGCGTCACAAAGCGCCGTGTCGCGCGACAATGCGCCGCTGTCGCCGCCCCCGCCCCGCGCCGCGCAGCGCCGCGCACCTGACCCCCGGCTCGACGCGGCGCGGCGCGGCGCCACTGCAGTGTTCGCGAGATGGGCACACGCGCCCAATCCTTCCTGCGGGGCGGATGCGCTCAGATTGGAGCCGGCCAACTGACGGAGGTGATCACAGGGAAGTTTTCGGCACATCCTTCTATTATTCCTAATCATTCCCACACACAAAATTAGATTTTTAAAGTGGTACTTTTTTCGGTTCTTTTATTATGCATTTTTATTTCTCTAAGTAAAATTTACTTGTTAAAATTACATTTTTTCAGTACTTTTATGGGTTTTCATTCCTACAAACAATTTTCTTTTTAAAATGCAATTTTTCAGGTTGCAAATCGTGAAGATGATATCTGCTTGATAGTGTGATTTACACTTTACGAAAGGTGTTCGAAGGAACGGAAAAACTCGTTGACAATACATTGAAAAATAATAAGTGCGGACATTGCGAAATAGAAAAATTCTTGAACTCTAATCATATTGGATGACGTTTTATTTCTATGTTAAAATTCACTACAGCTATGTCTGTGAAATAACGGAACAAACAAAATTGGGGTACCAAATCTTTTCACACTCAAAAAGAATAATACTCAAAATGATACAAAAAATGTGTGATATTAACCATTAATTTTTAATCGATAAAATGAAATACAATAATACTAAAAGAAGCAATTACTGCCGAAAGGACCTACAGATACACAGCATTGTACCTGTTGATTAGAATTTATCTTAATACATCCGTTAGATACTTATTTAATCTCATTCATGGATCAGAAAAGTCTGTTACTGAACTTGGTTTGTTATGCGTGTCTAACATTTATTTCACTCATTTTGTGTTACTTCAAATCAAAACGAGTTACCCTCTTGAAATTGTAATCATGAATGTTAAAGGTGTTCATTAAAA